ATGAAACTATGTTTTTTATATCGCAGGCAGCCTCATAGGCCTAAAGCCTAAATACCGGGGCACCGCGAAAGCTATAAGGAACTTAAAATTTATCCTTTGAAGATTTGAATATCTTTTTCATCTCATGTCGACCATTTAAAATTTCAAAAACATTTATGAAAGTCGGACTTAAGTTCTATAAACCTCGATGACTGCTATCGTCCTTTTTAGTGACAAGCTGAAATTAAAATAAAAGAATTGAGCGTACCTGCTGAGGAGAGACAAAGAGTCACTTCACAGCACAATTATTATTAAAACGTTAAAGGACGCGATACTCCTTACTATTTCTGCTGATAGCATCTAATTTAAAAAAGTCGTCCTGCTACGAGCACAAAGGATATTATGATTGCCTTTGACGTTGCAGACTTTTTATTATTGGACTTAACAGTGGCGTCCAGCAGTATTGAGGACTCATTGTGGTCAATCTTTGCCCTATATGCGGGGAGCGAAGTGCATAGTGGGGGCAACTGAATCGATTGCCGCGCATGCGCTGGGCAAAAAAGAAAACATCGTCGGACTGATAGCGGAATATACGCGTGGTCTCTATGGTGAATGAGGGGTGAATTAGGCTGGCAAAGGTGCAATTATTCCGCTGTCATTATTTGTCCGATTCACGAAGACTAGTTAATAGCTCATTTAGTCGAGAAAATTTACATTTTTTTAAGAATGGTGGTATAACCTAGGAGCTTAAACTACTTAAAGGAAGACACGTATTCGTATGGAGCCGATACTGTTGGCAAAGAGTGCCCGTATGCTGTATAACTTGTCGCATGTCTGATTTCATTGATGGAAATTTTGTTTCAATTATTATTTAATGTATCTAATAGTTTGTTGGTTTCATCAATGCCTGTTTAATGTTTCAGCTTTACTTCCTGCGTCACTGGGTGAGGAAGCATTGTTCGCGACAAAATACGAAAATGAGATAATATTTTGTTTTAGAAAATCGGTACAGGGGCGGAGAAGAAAAAACCTAAAAAAGCCGCTCAAACATCATTTTCAGAGGGTCTTGATCACATTCAGAAACACTTTTGTATGGGTTGAAATTCGTGGGTTGGGGGTTTTAGAGGGTAGGGTTTTTATGTTAGTATATTTAAAAGCTCCTAGCCCCGGTAATCCTATGCACCTGTTAGCCATATATCACATATCATATATTTCTCCGTACATTTGAGAAATGTTTTCAATCCGCGTACTCCTGCTATCTAAGCTCACCGCCCGGCGACAGGTCCGGCTGACTAGTACATCCATACTGTAGCTTAAGAACATATACACGAACCATGCACGAAATGAACGATAAGGGGCAACGTTGCCAGATCGACAGAAACTACCGGTAGAGCAGTGAAAGAATGTCTATGGACTAATAGGACGTATGGGACTGTTTGACTGACTTTATTTGTTTTTGTATATGTTTCTGACTGCCTTGTTTTTCAGAGAATTTAAATTGCAATGAACTTAGTCCTTTATGAACTCATGACAGATAATCAACCTATTTGGCGTCAATTTTTCCTATTTAACAAACCTCATCTGCAGTTAATGGGAACAGACATATACTGGTTACTTCTAACTTTATTACAATAGAATTTTATGATTTGAAACTTTGGCATTTTTGTTCAAAGTTGACCCATTTTCTAATACTTAACTTATTATTTTTATATGAGCGCATGGTCACAACATGTTCAACTTCAAATTTATAATAAAACAACAAAACATACTCGTATATAAAAACAAAAGTGTATCGACCATGCACTTTTATAAAAATTAGTATTAAGCTAATTTTCCGAAAATGGGTTGGTTGAGTTTTGAATAGAGATACCAAAGTTGACAACGTTGGGCTCTTGAAACACAATCAGATAGTAAATCAAAGAATGAAAATATGTATTGACGAACGTTTGAAGTACATGGGTTCCGAATATTTAATTGCAAAATTTCATAGATGTAACCAACTTGAGATTTGAGTTATTTTCTGGGCCGAAAACCCTGATCTTTTACTGTACTTTCGTCCGTCCTATCAAAGACAGTCAATCATGAACAGATGTTTCGTGCTTCTTTGCTACTCCTCAGTATGGTCTATGCTTGGGTCTCTCGGACAACGAATGAAAGCATAACTACTATACACTATATAAGGTGTGTGATCTATCGAAATTAGACAGAGCGGAGCGCCATCTATCACTAGAACGGATCACTGCGGTACAGTGAATCGCACCCTTCCGGTTGACACTGTATACTCAGTCCGCGAATGGAGGAACACTTTTATTTTTGATATAATTATTATGTTTTGTTGCGTGTGCTTTATTAATTAAAAATAATAAGTTGAGTATTCGAAAATGCCAAAATTGCAAAACATAAAATTCTATTGTAATGAAGTTAGAAATAACCAGTGTATGTATCTGTCCCCATTAACTACAGATGAGTTCATAAAGGACTAAGTTCAACGCATTCTTACCAAATATGAAACAGAAATTAGTTAGGGGAGAGTGGTACACAATGGCACATGGTACACAATGAAACATGTTATTTATCTGGTTTAAATTTGCCGCCAGAAATCCACCAGCGCTCAGGCGGACGACATTTGAGGTACTACTTTTGCCACCGGAAGATTGTCCCAGACTTTCGACGAATTAAGACGTGTCGAAAATTTTCTTATTTTTGGTGCTTAAATTTTAAAATCGTGAGTTACTTTAAAAAGGTATGTTGCTAACATTTTAATAGTTTTTGTTTTTATTTAATATGAATTTAATTACTACTTTTATGTGTATCCTAACCTGTAAATAATTGAAACCAATGTTACTTAGGTTAGCCATTTATAACGAATTTAAGAATGACTCATGTTAGTGGTACACAATGATACATGTGCCATTGTGTATCTCGCTGTTTCATTGTGTACCTAAGAGTGTCATTCTATATCAGCTTATTTTTTACAGTTTTATAATGGTGAGGAAGAAGAAAGAACGATCAAGAGCTAAATCTACAAGCCAAGAAATGACGACAGCAGTCCAGTTATGAGTGTCACTTCGCATTGCTGCAGATATGTTCTACATCAACTTCTCAACGCTAAGGCGATATGTTTTAAAAGAAAGGAACAATCTCGATGCTGAAATGTAGCCAAATTTTGCCGTAAGATTAATATTTAATCCAGAGCAAGATACCATGTTGTGTGATTATCTTAAGATCTGTAGCAAGATGGCATTTGGATTAAATATCTTGAAAGTTAGAGAGCTAGCGTATGAGATGGCCGTTAGGAATAACATACCTATCCCAACCAGTGGAAAATCAACAAATGCGCAAGCAATGACTGGTTACGAGCATTTGTAAAACGAAATCCAACTTTAAGCTTGAGAATGCCTGAAGCATGTTCGTTGTCCAGGCTTACTTCTTTTACCAAATCCAACGTGGCCAGATTTTTCTCACACTTAGAAGAAATATATAAGCAAGATCCATCAATTCTTCAAGATATCCGCATATATAACTTGGATGAAACGTCCACGACAACCGTCCAGCGCCCACATAAGGTACAAGTGCCGAGAGAGGTTTCCTAACTACCACTTCTGCAATAATGCGAGCAAATGGAACGTTTTTGCCGCCAGCCATTGTTTTTCCCCGTAAAAACTTTAACATCCTTATATTAAACCACCTGAAACATTGGGATTAACCAATCCGAGTGGCTGGATGACCGCCGAGTTGTTTACTCAAGTTTTTGACCATTTTTTGAAGCATTCTGGTACGACAAAAGAAAATCGTTCTTTATTAATATATGACAATCATGAATCCCATGTCTCCTGCGAAAGCGAAAGCGAATGGTGTGATAATTTCAATCCTTCCCCCACATACCAGCAACAAGCTTCAGCCTCTAGATAAGTCTGTGTTCTTTTCATTCAAAAACTTTTATAACTATGCAATTGATTCGTGGCTTCTCAACCACCCGGCTGTTCCTATGACGTTGTAGCAAATATCGAAATGTGTCGGTATTGCCCGCTCCAAATCTATGCCTCCAGAAAATATAATGAATGGGTTTAGAGGTACAGGCATCTATCCTTTTAATAAAAACATTTTTACGGATGGTGATTTACTATCATCGTCTATTACCGACAGGCAACAAATTGACTCGGAGAATCTGGGCACAAAAAAGCAACAGTTGAAATACGAGTTGGCACCCGTGGAAACGAAGCTTCACCTGATAGTCAAGACAACCCTTCACGTTCAAATAATTCCTGTACGTTCAGCACTGGTTCATCTGGTACAATGCAAACTTTGGATCGCAAATTAGATGAGGAAGAGGAAAACTCAATTTTTGAAACGGAATCTGTTGGTTTATATGGTAACAAACAAACAGAAATAAATGAATTAACTATGAATAAGAAAATCTTATCTGTATTGAAAGGTCATTTTGTTACTCCATTTGAGCTGCGAGGATTTCCAAAAGCTGCACCTAGAAAGAATTTAAATAGGAAACGAAAAACAAAGAAGAGCATTATTTTAACTCGCACACCAGAAATGAAAAATCTTTCTTATAAAACAGAAGAAAGAAAAACCCCAAACACGACTGCAGTTGAGAAGGTGAACAGAAATATAAATGATAAAACAAAGAAAAGAATAATGAAAGAAAAGATCTAGATGAAACAGATTCAGAATCAGAAGATAATAATTTGGAGTTGAAGGACTCTTCCGACGAGCAATTATCATTAGAAGACCTTAAATATAGCATGATGCAGGAACAGAAAAATAACTTGGAATCTTATGAAATTACTGAAAGCACTTATATTTTGAAATATTCTTTCGTCTTGGTGAAATTTGAAAATAATATCCGTTATGTTGCCAAAATTTTAGATGTGTTCCTGATACTCATATGGGGTTGAAATCCGATTTTGTTATGTTATTATCAGAACCCATGAAAACCAGCAACAAAAGACTTTCTTCTTATTATAGATTTGGGTTAGAATTTAACAAGATAATTGCACGTTGACTTACAAAAAATAAATATTGTTTCATTCTGACAGATTTGTAATAATCTCCAATGTGTTTTATTGTGTACTACCATATGTTTCAAACTGTGCCACTGGTGGTACACATTGATACAAATGCAGCCCAAAGAAATTTTTTTCTTTAGTTTCTTTCATTTTCTTATTATTACATACTGGACCTTAATCGCAATTGAGTAAGCTAAAAGACACACGGAATGATTTTTTTAAAAAACAAGTCATCAAGGTTTGTCCGTGGATTTTTCAGAAATTGTGTCATTGTGTACCACTCTCCCCTAAAGACTCCAAATCCAGAAAAAAATATAATGCTCAGATCGAATATTTACCTAGGACCAAGATGTTACAATCTTTTTCCACAAGACCCGAAGATGATACTTTCCAAATATGCATTTAAAACGAAAGTAAAAGGCTGGATAACATCTATGCCCAGAAAGAGAATTCTCGAAATCGTTGACTTAAAAAGACCACAGTTAACATGTAAAGCAACTACTGGAATAAAGTTATCGATTCAGACAGATTACCACTACCTAGACGATATGCCCGTACTATACTTATTTACCTACTTTGACAACATACTCGATATATCCCCCAAACAGAGAACAGAAAACAAAATACTAATAACCTCCCTAAGATAGACTTGATGCCCTAAATATGACATTTTACATAAAAAAGGATCTATGATTAAATGAAGTCATCCATACTCCCACTTTGTCAGATAATGAGTGTTTTAAAATCCTATTTAATGTTGTTATTGTACTTTTCTTAGTAAATAACGCGTGTCATTTTATTTCTACTTTAAGCAATACGTATATTATTTATAAGCTCATCTATACCCGTGTACAAGGCAAGCCTTCTGCGGGTTTTCTCCCTTGTTTATTGTTATAAAATATGTCCTTTCTAGTTATCTGCTTATAGTTTGGACAATAAACATTATTATTATTCAAATCAGTCTGTCAGAAACTTGTACAACAACAAAGTCAGTGAAACAGTCTCATACAATTAGTCCATAGACATTCTTTCCATGCTCTGCCGGTAGTTTCTATCCATCTGGCAACGTTGCCCCTTTCCACATCCGCGCGGCGTCGCTGCAGCGAGTTATCGTTCAATTCCTCCATGGTTCATGTATATGTTTTTGCGTCATAGAATGGATATATTAGCCAGCAGGACCAGTTCGCCTTGCATTTCTCAAATGTGCGGAGAAATCTATGATATGTGATATATGGCGATTAGGTGCATCGAATTACCGAGGCTGGGAGCGTATAAATATACTAATATCCACGAATTTCAACCCCTACAAAAATGTTTCTGAATATGATCATTACCCTCTGAACGAAAGCTTAACAACTATACACTAGACAAAGAGTGTGATCTATCGAAATTAGACAGAGCGAAGCGCCATCTATCACGAGAACGGATCACTGCGGTACAGTGAATCGCACCCTACCGGTTGAGATAGGGTATAGATATCAGTCCGCGAATGGAGAACCAGACACCACGTCGCGACGATTCTAGATGTTCAGCAGATGCGGTATATTTGTTGCCACTCATTGTGGTAGTGGCTTATGTCGATTCTCCCCTATTTTTGCATTTGTTTTTACCGAATCGCGACGCCAATGCTTTGCATCTCCGACGTTTGTTGGGGCAGCTCGGGAAGGTAGAAAATGTTAGAAGCTCGCTCGATGCGGCAGCCATCAACAGCGAAATTGCATTTGCAACGGCAGAAATACTTTGCGCGCCGCCCGCCGCCCAACTGTTCTGAAAATTGAGCTTCAAACTATGTGCGTTAGTTCCTGTTTATTCACAAGTTCATAACTCCTAATTGGATACGTTCGTTCGGGATGAAAGGTTAGTAGTGGTTTGCTACAACCCTCCATAGCTGCTCATCTCAGTTCAGGAAAATTCTGTTAACTTTAATATTACCGATATACGATAGTTTCATTTTATATTGTCAATGACATCATCACACTAAATACATCTGTAAATGTCTGATTTGTTTTTTTAATATCGAATAGAGCAATATATAGTTTTGCATGAAGAAAGATGTACGAGGAGATGACACTGCCACTTAAGAGTGATTCGCCAAACGCAGTACTATCGATACCGAGATGTATCCAAAAACATGGCGTCCAAATAACAGCTGATGGCATCTAAACACGGGATAAATGCGATGTTGCCATATAATGATATAATAATAATAGTAAGTTTATTGCAAAAGAAAAAGAATAGCAGTAGTAGATGAAAGACAATATTATACAATAAACGAATGAACCCAAAAAAGTTTCGCAGAAACTTGTGCTTGGGCATGAGCTCATGTATAAATAACTTAAGACTAAAAAAAAAAAAATACAAAACAAAAAAAAAATATATATATATATATATATAAAATTTATTAGACAAGTCCTGGTAAAATTCTTAAAAAGACACAATCGGGAGGGAGAGGCAAAATCGGGACGTAGACGCAATCGGGATAGAGACAATATTGAAACAAAAGACAATATTAGGTGATTAGACAAGAACAAAAAATGGGAAAAATAAGTCAAAAAATGCCATAATTCAGGAAATAAGAATTCAAATCAGTTTGATTTATACATTTTTTTTTCATTTTGAAATTTCAATAATCTTGAGAGAGATTTCCGCTTTCAGTAGTAGTAGATATTTTTGATATCAATCGCTTGATGAATCTTGAGCCTATGCTGGTCCAAAATCCACAGTCTTAGATGCTTTTTCATCACCTTTGTATTTTTAATATCTTTTATCTGAGGGGGGATTAAGTTATATATTTTTGGTCCTAGGAAAGTGAAACTCCTCTGACCTATGGTCTTTTTAGGCTTTGGTATGCGTACTGAATGATCTTTGGATCTGGTGTGATTGTCATGTGGGAAGAAATTTAATAAATGCTTATGTTTTGTAATATATGTGAACGCACTCTCAAAATAGAGTTGCCTACAATCACATATCTTGGATACCTTATATATCATATCGGTTGGATAGGTGTTAGTTTTGTGGAACATGATTTTAAGAATCCATTTCTGAGTTATTTCTAGTTTCCTGTAGTATTTATTCAACACCGGTCCCCATGCCAAAATTCCATAAGTTAACAACGGTTGTACTAACGTTTTGTATATGCTGCATAAGTCTTTACCAGAAAGAATTTGCCTAAAAAATTTAAATTTTGGTATAAGACACCTTAATCTCTTCGTTAGGCTTTCTATTTGTTTGTACCATTTTAAGTAGCTGTCTATTATGATTCCTAGGTATTTTATATGATTTGCTGGCTTTAGGACTACTACTTCATCTATGGGTGGTAATTTGATGTGTATGTTATTGAATGTGAGACTGTTCCTATCATCACATGAAAAAGCCAGATATAAAGTTTTTTCATAATTGACTGTTAATATTTTATTATTGGAGAAGCTTATAATGACTCTGAAATGCTCTTCAATAAGAGTCTTTAAGATATCCCAAGATTTTTCGCTATAAAAAACAGCCGTATCATCTGCGAACCCGAATTTTACCGTGTGTTGACAATCCTTTTTGGAAGAACTCATTGACCATCACTTAGTTAAGGAGTATTTTGTTCAAATTGACTTTGTTTGCGCATTTATTTATAGTGGGGGTATTTGTCATCCGTGTACAGCATACGGAATATATTTTTCATTCAATAAAGCTATAAATTACACCTTTTGCTTGAGGAGATATTCTCAAAATTTATAAGATACCACATGGCTGATTATTTTTTAAGACCCTACGCGGAATGTTTCACGACTCAGTTTAGAAACAAAGGATGAACGTTAGCATGCAATTCAAAAGTTTTCTAACCTCAAATTGCTTATTTAACCAATCGTAGGTCTATTTGTCGTTGTTAAAATTATCTAGACAGTCTGGTCTTAGGACGATATATTTACTCATTTCATATGATTTCTTGACCTAGTCACCCGAAATCTGAAAGCAACATACCTCCATTCAGCTCAGTATAAATGTGGCGTTTTGTAAAAATTTAATGTAAGTTTGGCAACACTGCGTCAATACATGCAGAACTATCTATGACCAAATCGCCGAGCTAAGGGCGGCCCACTCATACGCTGTTTTAATTATAGTCCAAGAGCCAGTCACAGTTTTTGTTTACATCACGTACCGATATCATATGCGATGAATATCGTGGACAGCTGCTCTTGTTTTTTTATTGCATACCTTCGATTGTTCTTTTGTTTTTTCATTCAAGTTCCCGCATCCGTATCTGTGACCATAATTCACCGTATACAACGTTGTTCCGTGTTTTTTAGTAGTCACCAGTACGGTCTAGGCCTCGTCGTTGGATCCAGACAGCAATTTTGGCAACAAAAATGTATAAGGCAAACAGCAGAGCACTATAGACAACCTAAAATAAAAAGTATAGTCCAGATATATTTGAGCATTTTGAAAATCTAGAAATTTGAGAATTTGTTAATATCCTGAAAACCTTGATTGTTTTGAAAATCTCTGAAATCAAAATTTAAAAAATAAAAGATGTCAAAGAATAAAAATGTTTGAAAATGCCATTATTCTGAAAATTTTGATTACGCTAAAATTTCTAAAAATCTTGGAAATATGTTACAATTATCTGTAAAATGCAACTTTTCACTCTCCACTTGAGGGTAACTCAAACTCAAAATCCTCAAATCTCCCTAGATGTGCGACCGTTATGAGTTTCATCTCACAGTCTAGGAAAAAGTTCAATCCATAAGACGTTTTTCGTCGAACGTTTAGGTTAGTCTGTTAGCCCTCGGGAATGTTATTTGAATGCCATCAATTTGACTGTAAAAACACCAATTAAAAAGTAATTTCGTGCTTCGCAATCATGTTGTAATGGACATTGAGGCAAGGGTGTCGCCAAAATTTGATTAAAAAGGAGGATAAGTCGATTTATTTGATGGGTACTCCTTTTTTTGATTCATTTGATGCGTACTTTTTTATACCGAAGCAGCCACGTAGAAGCCTAAATATCAGGGCAACGCGGCTGCTATTAGATACGAGCTTAAAGAAACTTTGTTGATCCGATTTTTGAGCTGCCTAAGGGAAAAGTCTCGATACCCTAGGGAGAAGGGAATTGTATCGGCCTGAATGTAGGTCGAAGTAGGTGGCCCATCGCGTGGCGGCATCATGTAGGAGAGCTTTGAGGAGCAAAGTCCGTTGACATAACGGTAGGAGAAAGCTAGATCGCCGACGGTCCGTCGGTGAAGGTCCTTTAGAGAAGAGTCATTGGTCAGTCGGACAGGCCTCTTGTGAATCTCTTATTAGTC